ATACACAACTCAAGAGGCCATTTGGCTCAAACAACTTGCTGAGGAAGTACTGCAGACAGAATCAGTACCCATTACAGTCTATTGCAACAATCAGGGAGCAATACAAACCATCAAATCTGAGGAGATCACTTTCAATGCTCAAACAAAACACCTTGATTTGCAAAAGGACTTTGTCCACTGTTACATTCAGAACAACTATGTTGACATACATTATGTTCAAACACAGAACCAACTTGCAGACATCCTTACAAAAGCACTTTATGTCCCTCAAATCAAGCACCTAATAGAACTTATAGGTCTTTGACATTAACGACAGAATATTAGGGCTTGAAGGGGAGTATTCAACACACTGTGTTTTATGTCTCATTTACTAGTATAGTACAATGTATCTAGTATATAAGGGTGTGCATATATGTGCATATATCTAAGTGCCATTCCAAACTCCCTGTTTTAACATTATCATTGAACACATCAATTCCATATTGTTACTATCCCTTCAGAGTACACTTTTCTCAATACTTCAAAACTCCTGCATGTTGAGAGTCAAGTATAGTTGCTGTGGTCCAGTCCAGGTCTGGTCCAGACAGGTTTTTGCTGGACTGTGAACCAGACCAGGACTGATTTCTTATGAAATCCTGGACCTTGGACCAGACCCAGCTGGACCTCTTGTGGACCAGACCAGCAGTCCAGTCCAGGTCTGAACCTGGTCCGGACCTCTGGACCAATTATATAATATATATTAAAATAATTCTGTCTTATTAACATATTATATGAGATAGATATACTATTAAGTACTATAATAATATGTTTCTGAATATATGTAAGCTTATATGTATCAGAATACAATTACTTTTATTATTTGTATTATACTAAGTGTAAAACACAAGAAATACTAGTGTAATAGAAATCAGTTCCCACAGTCAATGTAAACTGCTGTTTACATCTGTAAGACACAGTATAGTCTATTTGTATGCTTAAAGGGTATACAATACACTATACAATATATGTAAGAGTAGTTCACATCTATTAGGCTCTGTACAGTCTATTTGTATGCCTTAAAGAAGTAGTATCTACAATATAAACAGTCCACAGTCTGGTCCAGGGTCCAGGCAGTCCAAAGCAGTCCGGAAATTTTTGTCAAACGCTAGACTGCAGACTGGACCCCTGTTGGACCCAACTGGACCGGACCTCAATCGGACCGGACCAGAGGTCCAGTCCAGGTCCGGACCTGGTCCACAGCAGTCCTGGACCAGACAACAGCAACTATAGAGTCAAGCAATTACATGTGGCATTACTGGTTTTAGTGATACTTTCCTATTCAGTTCAGACTGGATTCCTAATCCAGTGTTGGCAAATAAAATTATAAACCCTCCAGCCACTGCTTGTTGCAACTCACTCCTGTACTGTATTAACAAACTAAGTGAGTATCACAGAACTGTTCTACTGTATGTCCTTGACTACATTGTTTGCACTGTGATTTCATTCTGTATTGTATTTATATTTATATTTGTAAAGTAATTTAGTTTAGTATTGTTGTTTTGACTATTTTTATCCTACATACATATATGCATATGCATCAGGGAAAAGTCAGATTTCTTGTAATTTCTTATAGACTTTGTAAAGTAACATATGTATTGTATATACATTATAAAGTAATTGTAAGGATTGTAATTGAATTATAATGTTTAAATAAGACATATTAATGTATATAAAGACTACATAAGTACTAGAGATGAATGAAATCTATTACATGTATTATACTAACTTTGTATGACAATCTAAAGTGTTATGCCTGTATTATATTTAAATTATAATCTTAAAGAAAGAGTTATATTTATAATATAATAATGTAATAATTACTATTGTTGCCTTATAATTTATACAAAAGGTATATTAATGTATATTATACTTAGATTATTTATACAAGCAGTTTACAATTATTGTAAAAGGCATTTCATCTACTTGTAATAATTACATCAGTGTGTTTAGAAAGCTATATACATGTCATATTACTTTTTACTATATTACAAAGTAGATAAATAAGTTTATTTTATACCTAAATACAATAATTGAAATGTTCTATCAGTTGACGACTCATATTATAGTTGCTTATGTAATCAACTGCTGAAGATCGGGAGCATATAATGAAGCATTTCTCTTTGTCACTCCTTTACCTCCTACCTTCACCGTCTCCCCAACCCTCTGCCCCCAACGCTATGTCGTCGCCTCTGTTCTCTCTAGTCGAGTCCTCCGCTCGCAAGCGTCCTACCAGCAGGCACTCTGCCTGCAACAACATAGGCAATAAACATCACTGCACTTGTCTCTCCAATCTGCCGCTGCAATGCCTGTGCTGGGCCTCAGATCTTGCAATGATGCCACCGAGCTGACTACACCGTCCTTCAGCGTAAAGTGTAAGCAGCCAGTCCACTCCATAATAGCCTGCACAATAGTTGCTCATCCCTCTCCTCCTAACTTTTTTGTCTCCCTTCCATCCCTCCCACTCTCGCTCACGTCTGTGTGCCCCT